CCTTCAGCTGTGACTTGCTTCATTAGCCTACTTTCGGGGCCATTTTCGCATGCTAGTTTAGCCCCGTTTGCATTCGCTGTTTGACCTTTCTTAGAATTGTAAACATGCTTTTTTTGGGGATTCCTTGAATCTTCCTTCATGCTTCATGTACAAATAATGCATGCTTGATGTAGCTACAAGTCATTTCATGTGTTTAATCTTGCATTTCGGGACCATTTCATGCATCGGGTGTCATTTTGCCATCTTTCGGGGCTGTTTTGCATCGCATTTCAGCACTGAAATTTGCATGCTTGTATGTCATATTCCATGCCTTGCCATGTCTTGTTAGAGTGGCATGCGTGCCTTAGGATCGGTCCTCGATTTGCGTGCATGTGTGCACGCATCTCGAGAGTCTCATTTTCATTTAATGGCCTCTTATGTGAGTGTGGCCGAGGTCCACTTGTGTTATTGTAAGTCCATTTATGCATTGTGTATGCCATTTTATTTCATAGCATTGCGTATGCTAGGTTGTATGTTAGCGCATTGTGCATGCCATGTTACCTCGTGCATCGTGTATGCCATTTCATAGCATTGTGCATGCTAGGTTGTATCTTAGTTGCATTTCACGCATACCATGCATATTGCATTATGCTTGGGATAGGAGTTAGCCCGAGCACGGGAAACGAGGGACGTTTCGTACTCCGAGTGACGGAACGTGTCTCGATTCCCTGTCACCGACACTCCGGATTACCCATGATGGAGTCTAGGCTTTGTTGTGTCTTCATTTGCATTTATTCTATATTAAGTTGCATAATTCGACTCCTCGGCCATCATGCATCGAGATGCGTGATTGGTGGCACGAGGATCGAGGCATGCATATATTTGTGAAAATACATTGCTATACCCCTTTCCTGCTCTCTGTTGCAGCAAATCGAGAATCAGCAGTCTTCCGGGGCTTGGCGCGCACTGCAAGAATAAATCGCAAACAGAGGCTAATTGGGGCATCCCAGTGGATTTCCGCGCAAGGCAGCCCAAACATACATCATTCATCAGAATCGAGGCAGTCCCTGGCTTGCACGCCAGTTTATAGCTTTCTTAGATTAATTTGTAAATTAATTAAGATTTTTGTATTTATTCGAACTGTAATTATTCATTCATTTGGGATTGTATATTATTTATTCGGACCCTCTGTGCGAGGGCATAATTGTAATAAGTGTGCGTGTGTGTGATGCATGTCTTCCAACCCCACGTCTTTCTCCCTTTTATTTATCCGCTTATGATGGTTAGATTAGGGCATGTTTCAATTAGCATACAGTATGACAGCATGTTTGCATTCATTCATCTGTAGTGCATGCACCGGGCTCGGCGCATCATACTAACTGCATTTGTATTTCAATTCCAAGTTGAATACATGTTAGCTGTAGCATTTCATATGCCATGTTTAGAATAGCCGAGCCTGCTATAGTTACATTTTTGCATGTGTTGCATTAGGCATTTCTGTATAGTTAGGATCATGCATGGATTTCTAACATAGCTTCTGTTTTGGCTTGGAGTACTTGGTAAGTTTTTATGCTTTAGCATCCTTGCATGCGTGTGAGTGACTGCCATGATAGCATGCTTACCATGAGGCTAATTGCTTATGTGATATAACTGCCTGAATGCCTGTGGGTGAAGGTTAGGTTACTTGGATTGGAACGAATCATCAAATGTGTGTTTTAAGCCCACTGGATAGTGGCAAAATCATGTTTTCTAAGCCCATCCAAGGGTGGCAAAATCTGCACTTTAAGCCTACTTGCGAGTAGCAAACCATCTTTCAAAAACAAACATGAAATGTTTTGTTCCAATTCAGGCGATCCAGTCTATACTTGTATGCTGTGCGCATCACATAGTAATCTAGGCTAATAACCGGAATAAGAATACACAATGTTTTCAAAAATAGATATCATGGTTAGTAGAGGCCGATCTTTGATCGGGCGAGCGGGGGTGCTCACGAAGTGACCTTCCCCAATCATACCCAAGTTCCCGAGCCGAGGCAACTTTGGTGATGACGGACACGTGGCCTTAGGCGACGAGTCAGGGTTTCCTAAATTTCTCCCAAAATAAAATATTAAGGTGGTGACTCTGTATCTGGCAAAGCAGTCCATGTTTGGCACTTCTTTTCAAAAATCTGTTTCTCAAAATGATTTGCCGGATTTGGACTCTTTGGTTCAGATTAAGAACCGTGACAAATTTGAGAGTCCGAGCTGTAGTAACCCCAAATGAACAAAACGGGACTCATCCTCCCGGGGCGTTCGGGGACGTCTACAATATGCCATAATAAATTATGTAATTTGATAATTTCATGAAAGTGACCCTGCAAACACTTATAAGTATGAATTTATAAATATTGTGAAAATAATTATGAAATTCTTATATCAATCGAAATATTAAGCTACAATATCATTCAGTTTTCCTTAAAAAAACTATTTCACATTTTCTACATAAATGAAAATATACTAATGACTAATATTATATTTCTCATCGTGTAAAATATTCGTGGCACATGAAACAAGACTCAACAATTCTTGATGTATAAAAATATAGAGTTAATTATGTAAAAGTCAAATTTACAAATGTTATGATAGCTCAGGCCCTATTTAAGATTTTTTTAATCAATAAGTCCAATTTAATAAAACTAAAAATATTATTATTTTTTTTTTCTAATTTTTAAAACTAAGAACAGTGGCAATTTTGCATACTAATGTTCTAGATAATTGTTTCATTAACTGATAAAAAAAACAGAGCATGTGATTAAATGTTTTTACCCTTCTACTTACTGGTTTGATTCAATTATTTAATAAAATCAAAAACATTAATAGTTTTTCAGTTTTAAAACTGAAAACATTATCATTTTTTTTTAAATTTTAATTTTGCACATCAATATTCTATCATCATGCTACTTTATAGACACAAATTTTTCAATTGTGCACAAAAAAATAATTCAATATTTTTTTTTTTTTTAAAATTCAGTGTGTTTGGTTTGAGTTTTTTGAATTAAATTTTTTGAAATTTGAGTTTTTTTGTTTTCATGTTTTTTTGTTTTTAGTGAATATTTTTAAAATTTTAAATATTTTTTTATTTTTTTAGATGCTCCTTACTTAGATGTATCTAAAAAATAAAAATTTGTGAAAAAATATTTTTAAAATTAATAAATACATAAAAATATAAAAAATGTACTGAATTCTAGTATTTTTTTTTTTAATATTTTTTGGTGTTTAGTGAATTTTTAAAAGTTTTTTTTCAAATTTTTTTTACTTTTTAGGTATATTTATGTTAGGTATATCTAAAAATTAAAAAAAATTGCTCAAAATATTAAAAAAATTCAGTAAAAACAAAAAAAATACGGAAAATAAGAAAGTAAAATTTTCTGAAAAGTGTTTTTAAAAAATGATAACCAAGCATGCTTAGTTTTTGTTTTTGTTTTTTTTTTCACATAATTTTTTTTTTTTTATAGTTTTTTCAATTTGAAAGTTGATATTCTAAAGTTTTAAAAATCAAAATAAATGTGAAATCATTATGTTTCTTTATAAATAAACATAGATGATGAACAATCATTATTTAAAAGGCAATTCCGACTATTAAAAATTGAATGAGACTTTAAGGTCTAAAATATCTTAGTTAGGATTTAAGGGAATATAAGTTCATAAATTAGAATTTGTGTGTAAATACTCCAAAAATATATTACATATTGATATTAATGCATTCTTATAGCAATAGTATGCAAATAATATGTTTTTTTTTTTTTTTTGATCGGCAAAGAAAAATTTCATTAAAAACATGAAATTACAGGTACAAGGAAATAAAACGCATTGAGAGATTCGAAGAGTAACAACTCACTCTCCGAAAAGGAGGAAAGCGGAATACAAATGGGGGCTCAAGATTATTGGGAGAGGAAACTAGGCCAGCCAACCGCCATGGCCAAAGAGAGGAAACTATGCAAATAATATGTAATAGTGGGTTTAATGAATTTGTATTATGAGATGAGCTATTAAATAAAATTGTGTAATTAATTTCATACCTTCAATTGTATTACAGGTACAGATTATGAAAAGTTGAAGTGGAAAGTTGATAGAAAATGATTTGTGTAATATTACATATTTAAAGGACATGCATATTGTTTATTGTTTAAGATAAGATTGTGATATCAACAATCTAGTTATAAATTAATATTTATATTTATAAAATTTCTCATTTCTCATTTAAATTCTTTAGCCGAGTATGTATTAATTTCTAAGTTGTATTTTAAATATAAATCAATTTATCTATACAAGTCTTCATACGTTGTGTACATATTACATACCAATTTAAGACATGCATAATTACAATACTAACAGTTGATGAAAAATTATATACCACATGGAGCGCACGTACCCAACAATTAGTATAATAAAATATATAAAAAGAAGACATCTCATAAAAATATGAAAAAAGTCATACGCCCGAAACTCTTTTTTTTTCTTTTTTTCTTTTTTTTTTTTGGGGGTGGGGGGGGGGGGGGGGGGGGGTTGTTGAACTTTTGAAGTTCTAATCAATAGAAAATTAGTTTCCCAAATTAAAAATTATTTGTTTAATTACACATATATTGCTATAATTACAGGGTTACATGTTTATGGCATGCATGGGTTATGGGAAGTGGAGGGTCGGATAATGAACCGTTGAGTATGCTTTTAGCAAACAAACGATTTGCAGCCTCCGTGTAGTGCGTGCCATCCCAACTGATATATGTTGACGGAATTGTACATTGTCTATTTATTCCTTCAAGATGCCTGGTGCAATACTTAAGAGGATTGGTGAATCCTGTTTAACAAAAAAAAAAATTAGCAATTTTTCCAAAAGTTTAAGCTATTAGGTATACTCAATAGTGTATATCAAGCTAAGTGTGCACTAACACAAACAAAATAGAGTAACAGTTATCATGTGGAATCGCTAAGTGTGAGTAAAAATTGAAAAACTTTGATGACAATGATCTTGATGATGATTACCAAGGTTCTTTGCATTGCGGATTAGTCCATATTTCACTGTATAAACATCCACATATGTTATCGCAGCCTGTGGGAGCTCCCTCCTCAATTTGATTACTTTGTCCTTGAGCTGCTTATTATACTCTAGGGTCATTGCATTCCACCTATTGGTGCAACCGTTCTGATCAAAAGATTCCTCCGTTCGATTGATAAAATTTTGGTTTATTGGCAAGCAACCAATTGGGCCCATATTATGTATCCAAAATGCCCTTCCCCCTTGTCTATACAAATGCTGTCATAACATATATCACATAATAGACATTGTTATTCAGAATTAACTGCAAATTAACTTATTTCACCAGTTTTTTATTTTAAAAAAAAAAAAAGAATGAAACACACACGAACTGCTTGAGCAAATTGATTAAGCATATCCGGTATTTGTTCTTGGGGATTGTGAAGAAACATTGCCCTAACAGCGTCATTCTGTCCAATGTCAATGGTGTAAAGAGCCTTTGAGAAGTGTTCAATTCTCGGAAGTCTGCTCGTGTTCTTGCCTGATAATGATCATAAAACAAAACCATCTTATGAGTAAAAATGAAGGTGAAAATTGGTGAATTTTATTGAGGTCAAACATTTTATTTAGGGAAAATGAACAATAATTCATTGGAATGACCTTGGTTGTAAAGATTAGTGACTCGAGCCTTGAACTGATCATATTGTGTGGTTTGGATGCCGAGATAAAAGGGGATAGGGTGATCATTCATGCGCCTAATAGTTGCACCTCCAACTGCAAAATTGACACCATGGCTATAATTTGTTCCAAGTGAATTCAAGTATGAACTCAAATATGGTAGTCCCAATTGCTCAGCTGCATACACCATAAAACTAAAAATTAGCCATTTTGTATCATAGAAATGGATATCAATTTATATCCTAAAAGACCATACAAAGCAATTTCATTATATCGATTACAGAATTATTCAATTTTATTGGGGCAATGCTCCTATAGCAACCAAAACAACACATTTCTCAATAGAGTTTTCTCTATTTTTTACCCATGAAATCAATAATGAGACGCCCATCAGAAGCTCTTCCTGCTGGCTTTCCAAAGAAAGTTTTACCATCTGGTAATCTTGAAGCTCCAAGTGCTGCTGAGTAAGCGCCAGTGTCTGAATTTGAATCTCCAAAGTTGAAGATTGCAGGAAAACTACATGGGGACATACCCTTCACCTCAGCACCCTCAACAATAATCGCAACCGATGAAGCAAACATTGCAAGAACCAACATTTTAACACACTTCATTTTCTTTTAGCAAGGTAAAATATTATCTGCATATCTATTCATAAAAGTACATTCTTTTATTTATAATTTTTGGATTCTGTAAGCATGATTGTGGATGTCATTTGTGTACATGTTAATTTAGCGATATTTTGTTATACACCTTTTTTTTTTTTGTTATACACCTAATAATAGGAAGTCACCATCTATAAATGTATAGATGTTGACTTATGTTTCTAAAAATGTGAAGCCTTTTACTGAAAGGGGAGACTTGCACAGATTGTAATGATTTCATTGAATTACATAGCTAATTAGAGGCATTTTATGACTTTCAAATTCTTTCAACCCATTTGATTTTTAACCTCAAATTTTTCATCAATTCATCCTTTAAAAAAAATAAAAATAAAAAAAATAATAATTTAGAGCCCAATTAAGTGGACTGGTGGCATGGAAGCCCACAATTGCAATTTGCAAAGCTTGGGATTGATAACTAGTTTACGACACAAGTTATGGGCCTCCAAAACTTAAATAGTTTCAATCTCAATTAACCATCTTTAAATGGGCACACTGCTAATCAAGAAAACTAGTTTAGGCACTGCTGGAAATTAGGTTTTTAGTGGCGTTTTAAAAACGCCGCTATATCTATCAAAAACGCCGCTAATTCATTTTGTGGCGCTAACAAATCATTTTCAAAGTTAAGCATTGGAGAATCAAGTAATAATTCTAATCAAGAATCTATTACTTCAACCAATGTTCAGATTCCTATTTTTCCAGGAACAAGAAAACTTGAACATATTAAATCTGCATATATGTATCATTTTCAAACAAAAAATGATGATAATATTTTTTCTCCTAGCCAAGGAAAAAGAAGATATACATATGTATTGGGAACATTTAATTTTGCAGGTTATAAACCCTATAGCCTCAGTGTTCTCATAGATACAGGAGCTACAGTCAGCTCATGTAAATGGAATGCCATACCAAAAGAAAAATGGACATTAATGAAACATCCAATTTTAGTTACTGGAATAGATGGCAACCATACTTCCATACAATTTAAGGCAAAAAATATAGCTATTTGGTTAAATGATAGCAAATTCATTATACCGAAAATTTTATGTTTTCCGTATATGCATGGAGATTTCCTTCTTGGCAATAATTTTATATATAAATACCTTCCAATGCAAATACAGGAAAAGGCTATTTCATTAAGCATAAACAATGCCTTAATTCATATTCCTTTGTTAGAACAACATAATTTTATATATAAATACCTTCCAATGCAAATACAGAAAAAAACTATTTCATTAAGCATAAACAATGTCTTAATTCATATTCCCTTATTAGAACAACATAAATACATTTGTGATAAAGAGTTTGCACCCGTGCCGCGTGATGATTTAACTCCCATCATCAAAACTACTGATGAATCACATTGGATTTATAAAATTTTAGAAGAAAATTTTGGTGAATATCCATTAAAACTATGGCAACGTAGTCCACGTTATTGTAGTTTAAAATTGAAAGACCTTAATGCTATCATTAGAGTAAGACCAATGATCTATACTAGACAAGATATAGATGAATTTGATATTCAACTCCAGAAACTTTTATGGTAAGAAACCATGCTGAAATTAAAAGAGGAAAAGCACGAATGGTAGTCAACTATAAACAGCTAAATGAAAATTTAGAATTTGATGGATATTTTATTCCACGAAAAGATATTTTGATTAATTTAACCAAAGGATAAAAAATCTTTAGCAAATTTGATTGTAAAAGCGGATTTTGGCAAATTCAATTGATTGAAGAGTCAAAAAAATTGACAGCTTTCAGTACATCTAGAGGGCATTACCACTAGAATTTTATGCCTTTTGATTTAAATATAGCACTACAGGTATTTCAACGGTGCATGGATACAATCTTTAAAGATTTTAAGGATTGTTGTGTAGTTTATATTGATAATATACTTATCTTCTCTAAAACCCAAGAAGAGCATAAAAAACATTTAAAATTACTTTATGAAAAATTCTAAAAACATGGAATTATTTTGTCACCAAAAAAGATTGAACTAGAAAAAAAATCAATTGAATTTTTGGGAATAATTTTAGACCAAAAAGGTTTAAAATTACAAGAACATATTTTGTCCAAAGTACGAGATTTTCTTGATACTTT